TAGGTTTGCTGTGGCAGCAGCTGCAGCTGCTGCCTCAGCTGCATCTGGGAAAACTTTCACTACTCCTGATCTTCCAAATCTTGAAGTTTGGTTATCTTCTAGTCGTCATATCTTGAGTGGAGTTCTCTGTGCAAAAGGTGGTTGCTTGGATGAATTTGAAATCATCAAAAGAAAACCTCGTCCAAGGAATAATGTTTCATCAACAGTGGAAGGATCTTTGAAGAGTACAAATCCTCTAGATGTTGCAGTATCTTGGTTACAAAGTGGTAGAGGGTTGAACACTAAATTCTCTACTTTGTGGTGTCAAAGAGCCATTCCATCTGCAAAGGAGATTTATTTGAAAGATTTGCCTGCTTGTTATCCTACTTCACAACACAAAACCCATTTATATAAGGCTTTGCATGCATTTCGCTCAATGGTAAAAGGACCTGCAGTGGAACTATTTGCAAAAAGGTTGGAAGAGGAATGCACTTCCATATGGAATTCAGGAAGGCAACTATGCGATGCTGTTAGTTTGACTGGAAATCCATGCATGCACCGAAGGCATGATATTGAAACCAATAATTCAGACAGAGCCTTGCCCAAGCCACATTCAAGTGGCTATTTTTTCCTTCATGCCTGTGCTTGTGGTCGTTCCCGACAGTTATGTCCTGATCCCTTTGATTTTGAATCAGCTGATGCTAGTTGCTTCTTTGACTGTGATAAGCTACTTCCTGCAGTAAAATTACCAGAAATAGTGTTTGCAGGACCTGTTCAATCTTCCTCTTGGAGTTTGCTTCGTATTGGGGGTGCAAGATACTATGAATCTTCTAAAGGCTTACTTCAAAGTGGATTTTGCGTCACTGAGAAATTTCTTTTGAAATGGACAATATACCTAGAGAAACAGAAAAGACCAAATGACTCAACAGAGAGTATAGTGAAGCAAGATTCTGTAATTAGGGCACCCAAGGTTGAATATAGTGCAGATTCAAGGAAAACTGGTGTTAGGCAAGCCCATGCTGCTGTGCAGGATGGAGTGGAAGACCAAGGAACATCTTTAGATATCATGAAGGCTGATGATAAAAAGATAAGTTTTGGTAGAGGTTTCCCTATTTTCAAAATGAGGAAACCTTTTTCTGAGGTTGTTGCTGGATCAGCAGCTAGTGATTCAGGATTCCCTCCTCTTCAACAAAGGAAGTTACCTACCCCAGGTTCTGAAAAGGGTATGAAAGAAAGCAGGTCAAGTAATCAGAATGTTGAACAGGTTAATGCTGCCATTGATCATCAAATATCTCAAAAATCTCAACATGTATCATCTACACAGGAACATCTTGATGGTAATGGAAATAATAATATCTGCAGGGATGATGATCCTTTTTTGAGGATAGGGAGCAATGTAGTACCTGTATACTTGAATGGAGGTGAAAGGAACAAATCACACTCTTTAAAGCATGCTATAGTATATGTTGGATTTGAGCATGAATGCCCCCGTGGCCACCGTTTTCTGTTGAATGCAGAACACCTCACTGAACTTGGACCTTCATACTCATTATCTGAAGAATCTCGAATGTCTTCTATGGAGCCTGCTGGCAGAAATCAGGCATATCAAACTAAAGTAAGCAAGAATGCTTCCTGGAACAAAGCTCATCGTAGCTCAAATGAAATTCTTTCTACAATCTCAAATAAGGAAAGAGATGTGAACAAATCTAATGAAATGATTCCTAATGGTGATTCGAATTCCGATGGATTAATACATACTTCCATTCCACTAAAGCAACATAATTTGACATCAATGAATGCATTGTCAAAACCTGTGAATCTTATAAAAGATAATGGAGGGGATCTTCAAGCTATTAGCATGGATAATGATGATCTTGCATTCTCCATGTTGAATCAAAACTTGCCTGTCTACATGATCTGTCCTCACTGCAGGCATTCGAGGAATAAGAAGGATACACCCAAGGTTAAGTTTGCTAGTGGGATCTCACAGCTTAAAAGGATTTTTCTGGTATGAGTTGCTGCTCATATAGGCATTAAATTATGTTTCAATTAGCATCATTCATTTTTTTTTTCTGTTAATAAAATGCATATTAATATTTACACATGTTCTAATTTTGGAGTGTGTTTTGTGATTTTCTTTTTTATTTTTATTATAAACCGATGGGGGTTGCACAAATTTCCTTTTGTTGTTTATCTTTTACACTTTGGCTATGAACTGCACTTTTTGCATATTTGCTCCATGTAAAAAATTGGATGTCACTTTCTATGCTAATAAACTTATACTTTCATCATCATTTACTTTTTTTATTTTCTTTTTCATTCCTCAAGATAAACTAAAACTTCTTTGGGCATACTTAACCATAACCATAAGGAACCATTGATGGATTGATTGTTTATCAAATTCTGTGGTAAACACTGGTTTTCTTCTTTAAAACGAATCTTACAAACCATGCATTACTTTTTAAGGATTTATGTTTTACTGTATGGCATCTTCAAGATTGAATTAACTGGTTACTGATAAATAGTTTATCATTATTTCTTGTTTGTTGGGCATTTTCCCCGGCAGTTAAAATCATGCATATATTTTTAGCTGGTGTATGTATTATATTCCACATGATAGTGATATTGACTGTTGAGTTTAATCATCTTTTAAAATTATTATCAGATCAGTAAACTAAACTATAGATGTTAATTCAGGTGACACCTGCATTTCCAGTGATACTAGCAACATGCCCTGTTGTACAATTTGAGGTATGTCTTGTTCCAGTCTGCAGTTCTTGAAATTTTGAATGTCATTTAACAATAATTCACATTTAAAATGCTAAGTCTTTATGTAGTTACTAGTTAGAGTTAAACTTCTCAAGTAATAGATGTTTTATGACAGGAAGGAAAAACATTCCGGTATGTACTATATATGTGTAGCTTTGGCCGTTGTTTCATCTTTGTAATTGCTGGGATTATTTTAACCAAACGGTTGTATGATCAACAGAGAAAATGAAAGAATATAAAATTACCCGTGCTGTAATTTTTTAGCTGCCATCTGTGAGTGGGTTTCATTATTGGAGTTAAATTTATATGGCTGTGATGCACTGATGCTTGGTTTATAGTCTGTTGGTGTTTGGTAAAAGGAATAATCACGTTTGAGGGAGGGAGAAATGCTTTGCACAGTATTCAAGATTGTTTGTTTAACTTTTGGGTTTTCGAAACCATTTTTGCAGCAAGATTTTGAGAGAAGTTGAGTAAAATTGATTCTAGGTATGAGATCCACAAAACTTATCTATATTTATACTTAAAAATGATGATGTTTTATCTTCTATACAAAATTGGTTCTTCTAAACTCACTTTTAAATATTATTCCCAAACACAATTTTTTTTAACCTCAATTCTTTCAAAATCAATGTCATCAATATCTAAAACAAAACAAACTCAAATCCAATTTTTGCATGGCTTATATCAAGATTGTAGTGCATTCTGTTGATCTGCTGAATTTTATATTACTTTTGCTATTTTGACCTTGTAGACATCATGCCTGTCTCCCTCAGTTCCAGATCGTGAACAAAAGTTGCAGTTTAGCCTTGGATGTCAAGTGATCTTGCCACCAGAGAGCTTCCTTACTCTTAAATTACCATTTGTGTATGGTGTGCAGCTTGAAGATGGAAACAAACATCCTCTTAACCCCTTTGAACAACAGCCTGAAATGACTGCCTGGATCACCAAGGGCACAATACTGCAGATCTTGTCCAAGGGGAACAGTGATGAGGGATATCAAACACAGTAAAAGCTTACTAAATCTTTGAGTGGCCTTGCTAGAGTGAAAATGAAAGAATGTCACTAGCTTCTACAAAACTCAGGTGCAGTTCATGCCCCTTCTTTTTACCTTTAAGCTAACATCATTTTTTGAAAATTTCACGAGCAAAAGTATGCACCTTGCAATAACTATTCATTATAGAAACCAGATTCTTTATATTATGTGCCCTTTCAAGATGCCCTTATGGAAAATGTTAGTTCAAGGTAAAAATGTGTATCATAGGAAGCAATTGGCAAGAGGATATTGTGGCAGAGTCCCATCTAGTGAAAAACTTGTGCAAGAATGTCTAGATGATCAGGCTCCCATATGTCGTATCTACCATGAAGGACTAGCAGAAAACTTGTCTCAAGTGCATTTTTTTTCTTTTGGCTTCATTGTTCTTGACAGAATATATCAAGGTGTGATTGAACTTTTTAGTTGTTAACTTAAAATTTTGTGTGAAGTTTTCCGCTCTTCTTTTTAGCTAAATTACCGGAATTTTTTTTGCTTATAAAGATTATATATGAATTTTGAAGGTATAAATAAAACTGCATAATAAATGTCTCAGATCAAACATTAGGCCATTAATGCTGTTAAATTGATACACTTGATTATTGTCTTGCATGAAATAATTATGTTTGTGACATTGCTGGGATTGGAGATGTGTGCAGGACAAGTAATTTTGTGGATGATGGATATGGTCCAGAATTGAATTGCTGAGCTGTAATATAAACGAGTTGAGTTCATTACTCGGGTCAGTCATATGAACTGGTAACATGGATTTCTTATATTGTGATTTTTTGGTACTAAAATCGCCAGCCTTTTAATTTGGTGCAATTGTTTGTGGGCCTTTTGATTATTTGCAGCTCTGTGGTTGGCTTTCTAGCCTGTTCATAAGCTCTTCTATATCTCGTGCAAATTCATATTTCTGGTATTGCTGTCTGGATTGATTTGGATGATACTGCCCTTTACAAATGAAAAAAAATTCTATGGTTGGGAGGAATCTGAGATATGTGCATCAATAGCCAGAGAATTAGAATGGACCTAATAATGGTATGTGATTATGTTTTACAGATGCAGTCCTTATTTTTTCATATTTGTTTTCTCAATGGCCCACTCTTAAGAAGACTTAAATTGATATGATAGCTGATTAGTTTTACTCTTTAGCCTTCCTGACAGATAATTTGTTGTCTGGTTTGCTTGGATCTTCGCATGTATCTTAATAATTTGACTAGTTAATTCGTTCTATCTACATTGTGCAGTTTGTTGTAATAGAACTATAAAATTAAATAAATAAGAAAGTAACAGGTGCAGTTTGTTAGATCATGCAAGGTTGGGGAAAATGTAGATTGCACCAGCAACTCTGAATTTAGATTGAAGCCTGTTAATTGATTCACTACTAGAATAAGATGTTAAGGAGTAAGATGTATACTATAAAAGAATCTCATTATTTGGTTTCAGATAATTCTTGGACCTCCTTTTGATTTATGAATTATTGTTCCAAATTCCAATAATAATAATTAGGATGCCTTGGCCCAAATACAGGCTGGTTCATGTCATAATTTTTAGCATGCTGCTTATTTATGTTATGACTCACCAAATTTTCAGATTATAGAAATTAAACTGCCAGACTTACTATGGAGGCGAAGTTTGCTTGCAGGTGAATCCCATTTTAGTTATTGTTGATGAAAGGGTGGATGGCAGCATATACATAGAAGATGATGTTCTTCAACGTGAGGCACAATATATGAGCGGTGATATTGATCCTGTGCATTTGAATGTTATGCTAAAAGCACAAATGGATAAAAGGGGCAAGCGAAGAAGAAATTATGAGCATTGGTGTTTCCTGATTTCCTGGAGGGGGCAATACGATAAATGTAAGCTTGCTGATCATCAATGGGGGTAAAAAATCGTTCAACTGGAACCTGTGGATGGCCTTTGTGAAATTTTCAAATCGAGTATTCTTTATAATGTTGAAACTTTGTTGGTTTACGCATTACGTTATCAACTAATGAGCATTAGAGGGGAACAAGCAAACTATGTACTTTTATTAGTAAGCTTCCATTTTAGTCCATGAGACTATAAGCCATTGGTCGCTTCATTTTATTTCTCGATTTTACATCATCTTTACATTAGTCCTTTATTTTGTAAAAAAATATATAAAAAAAAGTCATTCGGTGTTTTAACTTCATTTTTCACTAAAAAAATTAAAGGGAATGACATTGCATAAAATGGAATATTAAAGTAAATTTTGTAAAGTAAAAAAAATCAGTGATTGATGCGTGCAAATTTAGGGACTAGAATAAGAAAATCTTAAACGTGAATTATTTCTGAATGTTTAAAACTTCTTTTTATTTTCCTCGTGAAATGACAATAATTGTTTTTTTCTCTATGAAAATTGAATTTGATATTTAGTGGTTTAATTGACGTCATAAATTTTTGATTTGATAATACACAGAAAAGTGACGCTTGCCTAGGAACTTACTTTTTGATATTCGTATTTTTATGACGCAACAAAATAGGAAGATTGAATTGGCAAGGAGAGGAGAGCATAGATGGAATGTAAAGGGTAAAACCCTCTCCTCTCTCTCTCTCTCTCTTTTTCTTTCTGTTTCTCATAATGCAACACCACCGGTTTCCCTTTTCTTCAATGGAGCTTCGTTGCGTGCTACTCACGCTACCACTTTGCGGCCCTTCTCTTTCCAAAATTCACTTTCTTTCTTTAACGTGGACAAGAATTTGAAGGAGGTTTTGAAAGATTTTCATGAAATATTATGAGAGTCTTGGTTTTCTTCTCCTTGCACTCATTTTTGGATTTTCGACCCATTCTTCCATTTTCTTTCTTTCTAATTATATGCACTTGTTCTTTCAAATATCATATTAAATCATTTTAGCTAGATATGCCAAACAGATATTAATCTTGAGCTTTAATTTAGAAAGTTTCGTTCATCTTCATTTCATTTTTCACGGCTAACAGAATAAACAAAGAATAGAGTTCTATTCAAGTCCAAGAAAATAAAAATAGAAAAAAGAGTGCATATATGCATGGAGAACTAAACAAACCAAACCAACACTTGAGGGTAGCATTACATCAAAATCTTTCCAAAACCCCACCTAAATTCTTCTTCACTTTATAGAAAGAAAGAAAGTGATGTTTCATAAGTCTTGCCTATCAGAGTAGCACCGGTAGAAGGAAAGAGAAGAGCAACAAAACAGGGCGTTGAGGTGGGAGCATGAGGAGGACGCAGATGAAACTTCAACTTCCATAATATCATACTCTTATATATATTAATGGACAACATCCACAAGCCCCATGGGCTAGGACTATTTCATGAGCTATTTTTTTTTAAAAAAATTAATAAATTAAACTATTAAAAATTATCTTATGAGCTAAATTTTCATTTAAATTTTTTAGTAATAGAATTATTAAATTTAAATTAAAATCAAGTTATTTTAAAATATAATTAATATTTTAACCAACATTAAAAATTTAAAATAAAATTAACATTTTAACCAAAATTAATATAATTACATTTTCCATAATAATACATTTGTATACGAATTCTATTAATTTTCTAATGATCTAATCGTAAATACTTTATTAAAAAAAAAACCAAGAAAGCACTTAACAGGCTATTCAAACTACATGCTGCTTCATTAAAAAAAAAAAAAAAAAACCTAACAGTTAAGATTAAATATTTCAAATTCAAATATAAAATCAAGATTAAAAAAGTTAACTTCTTAAAATCACAACCGATTTACAAAGCATTCCTCCTTTTCTTTCAATAAAATCCACACCATGTAACAGAAGGAAAATAAATAAGCACCTATGAAATTTTTTATGTTCTTAAAATTAATTAATCAAGATCTCGTTATTAGCTCAATTATTAGAGATAAAGTTATAAAGTGCTAGCTGCTCAAACGTAAAATATAATTTTTAATTAATGTCTATAATAATAGTCAAATATAACATAAAATATTATAAGATTGTTAAAGATTCTCATTCCTTAAATTTGTTGGCTATGCAGCATTTATGTCAACATCTTGTAATGCAGCAACAACATGGAACATCAAATTCCCAAGTAAATTTGCAAGCTCACTTGTTGCCAATTGCCATTGCTATCAAATAATTAATGATTTGAGCGTATTCGTTCAGGCAAGTTAACAAAATCTCAAAGACAAATATTGCATCAAACATACAATACACAGTGAACAAATAATATTAATTTATTTGTAATTGAAAAAAAAAAATTGATCCAAAAAAATAAATGAAAATTAAGTAAATAATTGTATAACATATTATCTGAAGAGATATCACATGCGGTATAATATTCTTGAACAAAATATGTATTGAATTAAATTGATTAACTTCAACAACATTTTTCATTTTATATTTATACCATCACTACTAGCCCCATTTTTTAATAGCAAATTATATTTCTCCATCTCCGAGTATTTAACTTTTTGATAAAATATGATGCTTATATGAATCAGAAAACAGTTACTATTGAAATATGTGAGTATAAGCCAAGATAAAATAATAAAAAAAAGATAAAATAAATAAATACCGATAATTTGTTTAACGAAAAGTGATATTTTAATTGAATGTAGAACATATGAGGATGAACCTTTTCATCAAGCACTAAGATCTCGATGTTGTTAATTTCAGCAGG